GTGTTGCTAACACAGTTGCTGTCTGGCCTGAGTGAGTCTGTGGACCCAGCTGGACGTGAACAGATGTACATCGGGGGTGCTGGGACCTTGGGCTTAAGTGGCATGCACTATTTTCACACAGGCCGTGACCATTTTTTAGTTAAAAGGCAGTTTGGCTTCTGAGTTCAGAGCTGTGTTTACACTGCATGACCTCAGGCAATACAAAATCTGAACAAAACAAACCCCTGAAAAACAAAATCCCCCAGTTCCCCCACAAAATCCCCCAAACAGAGTTTTATAAAAGGTTGAATGAAAATAGAAATAAAGAACAAAAGCAGTCCTAATCCACCTTAAATACACACAGCTCAAAGCCCCTGGTAAATGTCCAATAACTTCATCAAATACTCAAATGACCTTTCTATGGATATAACTCCTGCTTGATCTAAACTATTAACCCTGAATGTTTCAGGTCTCAGAAATAATTCATATTGCTTCAACGTAACTTCTCCAGGGCTTCTCCGGTGAAAGAAAATACCAAAACACGGATATTTTTCATCTTGTATCCCGGGATTATTGTTTATGTAGTGTGACGATTTGGAGGGATTACAAGCATGGGGAAATTGGTTTTAACTCTGGGAGGAGAATTACGGGCGAACTCATGTCAGAAAAGGATTTTACAACAGCCATGTGTAAAATAAGTTTCAAATGATTTATGAATACATGCTTCTGTGGAAATTGAAATGTTAGTTACATCGATGTTAAACAGTTAATTACTGTTAATACATTTTACCCTAGGGAGATATTAAATAGCTTGCACAACATGTTTACTGACAAAACAACTGCAGATTCAAAGCCTGTTCAATAAACCATGTTTGAAGCTTTGCCCGTAAAACATGTCACTAATTCTCAGTTGCCAATTCCCCTATCATCTGCTGTCTGTCATTTGCCACAACACATTAACAGCTCCCGACTTTTTTCACGAGGCATCAAGGAAGATTGCTTGCATGAAACAGACGTAGGTCATGTTACGTATCGCTGCAGAGAGTGAACACTTCAATTTGAGTTTGATTTTCTCTCGTCATTTTTGGAGACTTCTTTTCTCGAGAGGTGACTGGAGTGAAGGTCAAGCTGAGATCACTTTGGAGGAAAAGAACTGTGCTGGATAACAAGTGTTCTTTATTCTCCTCAGCCAGAAGAAACAAAACAAGTTAAAGCCCATGTTTGCACCTAAAAATAAACTGCCAAAAGCCACTCAAATTCTGATGTGCACTCCGAGGTGAAAGGTAATCTTCAGCTCAATCAACCAATCAGCCAAACAGAGTAACCTCCTCTTATCTCCAGCAGTACTCGGGGGTGGGGTTCATAAATTGGTTTGAAGCGCCAATTGCAGAGAATCTGTCCGCAAAACGGCTTAGTGAATCGATATGGCAGCAGCATTAGAGAAGGTGGAGTGGGTCAGATTGCTGTCTGCATATCTACAGTGTAGTGCTGAACCAGCATGCCACTTAACTCTGTATGATGGGGCAACAGAAAATCATCTTATCATTAGAAGGGCTGGGTGATGTGAGGATAGGCACTGATAGACGGTAAAGACCTATTAACCAAGTACAATGAGGTAACTATTACTCAATATAGGCAATTGCAGTCAATGAGCTAAGTATACTTTCTGGAATTGTTATAGGAGTTTTAAATCAATGATATAAAAGTACTTCAATTTAAACGTTTTTAAAGAGGTACTAGAGGTTTTTGGCTAACATCCAATGCCCATGCATAATAGGGCCTTTTTAAAATAAGTTTGATCAGTCAAATCCTTGCCATGAGGATATTCCACCCAGCAAACAGTATTTCAATTAACTTGAAGGATTTTAACAATTACATTACATTTAATTTAGCTGACGCTTTTATCCAAAGCGACTTACATAGTGCATTCGACCAAGAAGATACAAACTTGAAGAAAACAGATTCATATAAGTACATTAGGTTTCATAGAGCCAAACTATTTTAAGTGCTACTCAACATGCTTTAGATAAGCCAGTCCTTTGTTAGTATATAAGTGCTTAGTTAGTATGTAAGTGCTTAGTTGGTATCTAATTTTTTTCTTTCTCATTCTATCGCTCGAAGTGGAGTCGAAAGAGATGTTTTCAGTCTGCGCCGGAAGATGTGTAAGCTTTCCGCTGTCCTGATGTCAATGGGGAGCTCATTCCACCATTTTGGAGCCAGGATAACAATAACACCCAATCCCAATATTTCAACGTTTTTTATTTGTCTAACCCTAAAGGCCCTGTCACACTGTCCCGAAATTGACACCCGATGGACACACGATAAAGGAAATGTTCAAATTCGGCTGTGATCGTAGCAACATCGGGCCATTCGTGAGGGCATCTTAAGCCATCGTATGACCGCCGGTGGAATTTATCAGGCTCCGGCAGCAACTTCGGGAGCGGTGGCAAAATCTTTGACATGCCAAAGATTTTGCCGAAGGACCTTGCGAAGGTTAATTTTCGTGTTGACTTCGTGTGTCTATTTTGCCCTTCGTAAGGCCATCGTGAGGGCATCGTGTACCCATCGCATGACATAGTTTGTGTCATGGTAACGTGGACATATAAAGGCTAACTCCCAAAGCTTCAATCACAATTCATCACAATTCAGTTCCTGCAGAATGGCATACTATGATGAGACAACAAGGAAAAAGAAGGCAGCAGCATTGCTTCTTTTGATGCACCTCAGAGAACATGATGAACAACTCTTACAGGTAAAAAATTGTCTTATTTCACGTTGTCATTTATTGCTTTTTGTGACCTGCTCAATCGAAATCAGTAGCAGTGATGACACCTGTATTAAACAGGTGGAGCATGAGGACACGGTGCGCGATGTTTGCTTGCAGGTCGCTTCTCTGGTTGTTTTATTGCACAACAAAATCATGTAAACAACCCAATTTGTGTTCTGTGAAACTGAAAAGGATATTACATTGTTTTTGTTACTGTCGTTGCAGTTGTATCATACAACTGCAACTGCCGCGGCGCCAGGATTTCAATTTTGGGTGGGCCAATGTAATTTCGGCTGGGCCTGTTCTAATAGCCTATTTCTCGTTAACAAAAATAATATAAAAAGAAATACCTGAATATCATTGTAGGCAACTGTGGAATGCATATTTCCTATAGTAAAGACACTTTTTCGAAACCCTTCTCTTTTAAACATTTTCACTTATAAGAAGCTTAAATAGGCTATTATTTAAATGATTAAATGGCACCCCGCAATGAGTGAAATTAAATGTTAAACTACTGCATGTTATTTTGTTTTGGTTCACAATACATTGATAGATTTAGAAACAAAGAGCATACAACGGCAGAAATACGGAATAATGAGCGAGCACCTGATGTGTGTCTGTGTGGTTAGACTACAGCCTGATGTGTGTCTGTGTGGTTAGACTGCAGCCTGATGTGTGTCTGTGTGGTTAGACTGCAGCCTGATGTGTGTCTGTGTGGTTAGACTGCAGCCTGATGTGTGTCTGTGTGGTTAGACTGCAGCCTGATGTGTGTCTGTGTGGTTAGACTGCAGCCTGATGTGTGTCTGTGTGGTTAGACTGCAGCCTGATGTGTGTCTGTGTGGTTAGACTGCAGCCTGATGTGTGTCTGTGTGGTTAGACTGCAGCCTGATGTGTGTCTGTGTGGTTAGACTGCAGCCTGATGTGTGTCTGTGTGGTTAGACTGCAGCCTGATGTGTGTCTGTGTGGTTAGACTGCAGCCTGATGTGTGTCTGTGTGGTTAGACTGCAGCCTGATGTGTGTCTGTGTGGTTAGACTGCAGCCTGATGTGTGTCTGTGTGGTTAGACTGCAGCCTGATGTGTGTCTGTGTGGTTAGACTGCAGCCTGATGTGTGTGTGTGGTTAGACTGCAGCCTGATGTGTGTCTGTGTGGTTAGACTGCAGCCTGATGTGTGTCTGTGTGGTTAGACTGCAGCCTGATGTGTGTCTGTGTGGTTAGACTGCAGCCTGATGTGTGTGTGTGGTTAGACTGCAGCCTGATGTGTGTGTGTGTGGTTAGACTGCAGCCTGATGTGTGTCTGTGTGGTTAGACTGCAGCCTGATGTGTGTCTGTGTGGTTAGACTGCAGCCTGATGTGTGTCTGTGTGGTTAGACTGCAGCCTGATGTGTGTGTGTGGTTAGACTGCAGCCTGATGTGTGTCTGTGTGGTTAGACTGCAGCCTGATGTGTGTGTGTGGTTAGACTGCAGCCTGATGTGTGTCTGTGTGGTTAGACTGCAGCCTGATGTGTGTCTGTGTGGTTAGACTGCAGCCTGATGTGTGTGTGTGGTTAGACTGCAGCCTGCTGTCCTTTTTAGTGGATCTAGCGAAGTGAGCGGCCGTGAGTAAATGGCACTGGTTCTCTGACGCGGGACTTTTCAGAGGCTCCAGATTTATCATTAGGCTACTTCCTTATGATACTGCAGAGCTTTCATGAGCTGAAGGTAGGCCTACGTTTCATACTAAAGAAGCTGGGCAGCAGATAGCCTACTGTTGCTTCACACTCAAGCTTTGCTGATTTGGGCTGGAGAATGCCTGCCGCGTCAGGGTGCGCTCTGGTTGCAAATGGCACGACATTTTAGCTCTACGTTTCTTAATCATTTGTCTAGATATTTAGTCTCAATATGACATGAGGAATCTCTTGCTTTGCACACGTGAGAAGAATTATGTCGGGTAAAACTTTACGTGTTCCCGATTTTTCTCAATGATCTCTCCCTGTCGGCCCTCTGGGTTGAGTAGCTGATGGAGGATGGTTCCATGGACAAGACTTCTCGCACTGTCTGTAGTTTGTATTTCTCTCCATATAGGCCTATTGCATGAGCTGCGCTGCATTCGTGTTTACTGAGAGCATAGTCGATATGTTTCCAGTCCCTGTAACCATGGCGACTGAATGTATCTTTTCCGCCGGCCCCGCCTCTCTCACTAAAACGCCGGCACATTTTACAAAACACTCTGTCCTTGCTAATGCTATACTCCAAGAATGTGTACTTACTTTTCATACTAGTGGGCAGCGAAGCTCCTTTTCTTTTGTCCAAAAAGTGTTATTTAAAATCAAACAAAAAACCCGAAAAACTATTTTTTTAAATAGGCCTACGTTTATTTTGAAATGAGCCGTTGCGACTTCCGACAGATTTCGATAGAGCGGGTCACATTTGCTTTTCTAGCATTCGACAATGTACTCATCTTGTTTTGGCTGCTCTCTAGTGATGAACTGAACCAGCCTATCTTGGAGATCACGGGATGATGCTCCGGTAACTCATCTCCATAGGAGACTCGGGTTGGTCCTCAGCAGCTGTTCCTGTCCTGGAAGGAGGTCTCGGTGTAGGGTAGCCAGTGTACTTCTTGTTGGGCTCCCTGGATTTGTCTGCAAAACTGTCGTCACTCCCAGCCAGCTCACCCGTCTCAGCCAGGGCCAACTTGTCCTTAAACTGCAAAGACAAAAATAGAAAACAAACATAAGTACATTTTGAAAGTTATATTTGGAAACAAAATGTGGGAAATTGAACATTTTCGACAAAGTTCCGTTTTAATTTAATTTCAATGATATACTCACACTAGCTGGTATTTCCTTGTTGTGACGTCTGATGTGTGGCTTCAGAAACCCAAAGACCCGGCGGATGGACTTGTCACGGTCACTATCATTCTCACTGGCCTCCTCAGCAAGGATGGGGTCTTCCTCGTCACTGCTCGACAGACCATCACCAGACCTCTTCTGGGATTTCTTCTTGGGTTGGCCCTCCCGCAGCTTTGAGAATCGAGTCCTCTATGTTTGATACCATTTCAGAATTGAATGATCTGCAATGACAGAAATCAAAACAAATAATTAGTCCAATCATTGAAATGTTCATTGGCAGCAATGTATGTCAAGTATCTGAAATAGATTTCAAATATTTGAAAGTAATTGAAATGTACATTTTTTTCTACTTACAATCCAACCTGTACTCCGCAGCCTTTCCCTCCCATAGGTGCCTCTTTAATGCCTTCTCTTTGTACTCTTTGTCCTTCATGTCATACAGTAGCTTCTTACTCTTCACCCAGCAAGCGATTGCCTCCTCCTGCGCCTCTGTGAAGCTGTATGATACACCAGGGGGTGGGTTCTCCTTCTGGGCCTTGCCTTTCCCTTTGTCGCCCTTGCCCACTTCAGGCTTGGACTTGCCTGCAGGGAGGGTGGGGAGGCTGACTCATCTGAAAAGATACCAAATGAAAAACAAATTAAGTACATGCAGGACAACAATGTATGAGAATATATAACAAAATCAATTACCCCTCTTGCCCCCCATCCAGGGTTCGAGTTATGTAGGAGCCAATGGGAGCTGAGCTCACATAAGGAGGGGTCTGAGCTCCCACGGACGCAGTGAAACTATACATCTGTGGGGGTCCCTAATACATTACCAACAACCATTATTTTAATCACAAATAATGCATGTGTCAATGTAATGAGTATTTTTTACGTTAACGAGGTAAATAGGCTAAAAGAAAAACATGCTTTCCAAAATAATTACGCATCTCTTGAGTGACAATATGCCTGCACTGCACCTCCAAGGTGCGCAATACATTATTACGCAATCTATGCCGATGGTGTGTGTGTGTGTGTGTGTGTGTGTGTGTGTGTGTAGTTGAACCTTTTCATATTTAAGTTTGTAGCAAGTAGAGAGAGGGCTGATGCTGCTGCTTGTGAGTGTGTGTGTGGGTGCGCGTGCGTGCGTGCGTGCGTGCGTGCGTGCGTGCGTGCGTGCGTGCGTGCGTGCGTGCGTGCGTGCCCACACAGACACTCACACGCAGCAGCAGACTCCCCATAGAGCACAGTTTATAACTCGAAGCCTGCCCCCATCCATACCAAAAATAAGTTAGAAATATTTACCTTCATCCTCCGAGGATTCGGGATGTCTGTTACGACGAGGAGAAGGTGAATGCTGCCAAGACTCTTCGGACTGCTGAGGAGATCTGGAACCCTCTGGGGGCCGCTCTGGAGTTTTAGTTGGCCCGACTTTCTTGCATTTCCTCCCCTTTCTCTCTCTGGTTGCAGACTCAGTGCTGTGTTCTTGGACCTCAGTTTCCTCTTCTGAGTGTATTTAACAGCCAGCTTCTTCCGTCTGCCTCTCCCTGCCTTGGGTGGCATGTCAATGTAGATTTAAAGTAGAATTTACCTTGTGTTCTGCTCCCAATAATCTCCAATCAAGAATTTGATTTCCCACACGGCCAAAGCTTTTATACCATCGGGAGGTCACGTGTCGCCTTCGTGGGTGGTTCGGGTGCCATCGTGTGGCCTTCTGTAGGCATCGTACTTGCTTCGGCTGTTGCTTCGGCTGTTGCTTGGCCGATGACCAAGTTCGGGGCCATCTTCGTGCGAAATTCACAATTCCATATTCGTGTGTCCATCGGGAGTCAATTTCGGGACAGTGTGACAGGGCCTTAACCCATTCACACTGAATGTGAGATCTCAAAAGTGTGTAAGGGCTCCTGTAAAATCTATTATTTGTCCTCACTGACAATGACCTCTGTTTGGCCATTCAACACCACGGCTTCACTGGAATGCTTTCTAATGTCTGAAAATCCATCAAAGATATTGATCTGTTGTTGACAGTTTTAAAGTGAGACTATGTTAAAGAATACCGAAAGACAACAGGCAGTGTTTTGATATGATTGAGCCCAGCCAGCTCTACAAGCCCATAGAGACAGTGTTCAGTTCATAGACACTGGGGGTGATTTGAACAGCTGCCTGTTTATTGCTTCTTAATTGGCATCCCCAAAACTCTGTCTTGGAACCGTTTTCAAATAGAATACACATATTCAACAATGTCTGTCACTCTTCATACAGAAAAACATAGTTACAACATCTCCATTGCATCTGATGATAAAAGTATATCAATATAAAGATTCTGTTTTACCAACTGTAGTCGGAGTCTTGTGAAGGCTATGTTGATTGGTACATTTGTAAAACTTGGAACTTCTCTATTTCTCCAAGGAGCAGAGACAGGTTTTTAAAAGGCATGTCTTAAAAAGTGCTGCCCAATTTATTATTATAGTCCCTAAATCATCTCTTCTTTGTGATGTATGACTACTTTTCATCTTTATGACATCTTTGTTTTTGTTTTTAATCAAATACTTTACTGGTAAACTGTTAACCATCATAACACAACGTTCTGTCCCTTCTCTTAGTTTGCTCTTCATTCAACCTTGGATACAAGTGTCAGTTAGTTGAGTGTCTGGTCATTCTTACCGGGAAAACCAGAATATTGGACTTTCTTCCTGGATTTTGTCATCTCTACCGTAGGGAATTGTAGAACAGTGTAAAAGTTCTACTATAGTAAAACAAAAGAAACTCCTGGCCCCCAAAATGGTAAGCTTTTCCCTCCATGCATCCATGTGTGCTATTCTGTTGCTGACCTATAGACCTACTTGTCATATATTGAAATGAAAACTGCGTCTTTTGGGGAATACCATTTGCAAGAATTGAGTGGTATGAATGTTGGGAACTGAATGAGTTTCAAGCACAATGCTTCTGACACGCATCCTCAGAAGATGCATCCTGCTAAATAAAAAGGCCTGGGAGACATGTCTTACAAAGATTTCCCAGTAATTCCTAGAGTCATGCGTTTTCTGCGTTTGACCCCATCAGGCAGGTCAAACGTGTGGACAGAGTCCCCGATGACGCTGACACACTAAGTGCTTTTAATTATTTAGGAGCAGAGCGAGAGATACGTGCCAACGCCATAGCTTGAACAAGGTGGATCACAGTCCTATTGTGGACATAATGCACATGAAAGATGCTCCCCTCCTCACGTTACAGCCTGATGGCCTTACACAAATCCAATCTGACAGGGATCTCCAGGGTTTAGCATGGAGGAGTAGCTGCGGTTTATTGCCTCAGGTTTACAGAGGCCAGATCATCTCCACATCAGGCTGTAGTCACTTAGTCTGAAATATTTCGCACTTTCCAGTCCCTAAACGTTATATTAAAACAATAGAAGCCTATCTTAATGTGGAGACGGTATTTTGAAGACAGAATTGCCTTAAAATTATAATGCAGAACGGATCATTTTCAGGCCATATAGTGTGGCTTTATCTCCAAAATGTTAATTCACCCTTGGAGATTTCAAGTAGAATATATCGTGAAAAATGTCTACAAGATGTGCATATGATAATGCTCAGGACATGTATTCATGTGACGTAATGCTGCAGCCATTAACAATTTAAACAAATTCAGGATTACATGTTTTGGTTTGGGATGTCAACTTCTGTTCATTTCAGCTCAACATACTGGACATTAACTGGTAAAGTTGAAAATAGTTATATATATTTAATCTTGCATGTGAATGTGTTTCTTTATATAAGGGTAATATACTGTAGCTTTTAACAACGGAATCCACTTAAAGATCCCCTCAAGATATGTTTCAAAGCATATCAAAAGAATCTGCTTTTTGCTATATGTCTACTCCACAATCTGTAAATGAACAAATAACCTTATTTTAACTGCAGTTCGGTGTATTTACGCAGATTATGGGACTTTCAATTGCGATGTGACAAAATAAAATCCACCAAGTTTGAGGTGAGCAGAGAGAAACCCCCTCGGCACATTCATCTGAAAACAGCCTACTCGTATCAAACTCTGCACATACTTCATTCTGCACGGTGACGCTCAAATGAATTAACAATAAGCAAAACACATTATTGCACATTGTTATTTAAGTCTGTGATTAAAGGGATATCTAAGGGGGAATATGGGACCCTGAGGTTTAGCTGAGGAAGCATTCGAGGTTGTACATTCAAATAAAGTGCTGCACATTATGAATAGAGACAGTGAGAGATGCTTCCTCTTCATCTTGCCAGACGATACTAATGCAGCGTGTTTGTCGGTGTCTGTTGAGCGCAGCCTCTCGTCCTCTGAGTCTGGTGAGCAGCAGCAGATGCTGACGCACAGCTGTGAGCCTGTCTCACCTGAGTTTAACATCCGCGCTGCAGCTCTCTGGTGCATCGGGAGCAAATGGAAGAGAGCAAAACAGCCTGCGTCTGACATCAGCTCAGCGGTGTGGAATCACAAGAGAGGCTGGGAAAAAAGGAAACGGCAGCAAAGCATACATTTTGCATATTAAAAAGAATAGTCTGTTAGAATAAGTATTGTGAATCAGGGGTTTATGCTCAACTTTTAACCTTTTATATATTTTTGCATTAATTTATTGTCACTGGTATGGCCTCTTAAGAAGATACGTTTTGAACATTTTAATATTAGAGGTCCTTCCAGCTGTAGTTTTCTTTGTGTCTTTGTAGTTGTACACAAGGTAAAGTGTGACATTCTTTGGAGAAACTTAGATTAAAAAAATAACTCTTCCTGTCATATTCCTTTTGACTTTCTTGCAACATTTCCCAGATAAGGAGTTGCCGTTCTTCGTAATATTCTCATAAGAATTAGTTTGATTCAGACTGTACAGTATTTGCATTTCAAAAACATTTTACGTTTGCTAAATTCTCTTTTCAGATTCTTTGTTGTCGATTGCTATCTTTTTACTTTATTTTCTTTTATCCATTACGGTTTTAAATAATGAAACTGTATCCGTCAATATGTGTGTTGCTTTACTTTGCTATCAAAATGCAGTCGAGAAGTAATGTAGTTTTATTTTTACATCTTTCCTTAATCATCCCTAAACATGATTTATCTCTAATCATTCTCATCAGCTTCCGACACTCTTGCATTAATTATTTTGTTCCCAATGATTTTGCTTCTTAAAAATGTCCCTCTAATTCAGAGTGCTATTAAAGCTAGGCAGGTATGACATGAACATTTTTTTTTTTTTAAAGACCAAATCAGCACAACAAAGTGGAGAGTCAATTAAGATGATGAATGACTAATAGATGAGCCTTAAACAAAAAATAGAATATTTACTGTGCCATTCCTGCTTCATACATCAAGAGGCGAGCTATAATGAGCATCCAGGTACAAAGCCACCATCTTGAGCCTGCGGTGAACAAGCCAGAGTGTGATTAATTGAGTTTGTCGCTCCGCCTTGTTCCCCCCGTGCTCTGAAGAGTTGCTCTGAAGTGATGACAGTCTATCCATTAAAACCAGTTTTCTAAATGGCATTAATTTCCTCAAAGAAGCATCTGCTTTGGTGTCACATAATGGCAGCAATAATGAGATTCTCCTTCATGAGAAAGTTCTGTTGCTGTGGAGACGGAGCGGCTCTTTAACGCTTAAGATGAGTGTTAACGCCTGTGATGTGACTCCTACAGCACTCTGAGTCCCAGAGCTTTTAAGATCTTACGTTCCTGATGTGCAGTTTTATTATTAATGTCTGTCTTTGGAGTGAAGCTCATCCTGCATATTCGTGTTAAACCTTTGGAATTGCACTTTTCTCGAGCGGTTTGATACACATTTACCAAATAGGGGAAATATAAATGTTTAATAGATTTACATCAATAATTGAATATAGTTATTGTTTTTACTCAAATATTCTAACTATACCAAACATACACAAACACAGAGATGCCTCGAACTGAGCTGTATTAATTCTCTTAAGGGTTCATTTACCGTTGCATCCATTTTGTATTTTACAATAGTACTTTTAGTCTCTGAAAGGATAATGCTGTGCAGCCAAACACTTTTCAAGCATTCTTTTTAGTTTTCAAAGATACTGAATATATTTATTTACGAAGAAATCTGTGTGAAATGGTGCACCAGAGTTGAAGACGATGAAAGAGTTGGAGACATTAGAAGCACATCCTCACGTTATGGTTTGCTTTCTCTCCTCTATTTGTGTAGAAATACCATCAGTACACATTCCTCCACAGACGCCATGTTAGACTGTGGTTATGAAAACACTCTTTATGTCTCTATATCATCCTCTTACTGATGTTTGTTACATATACTGGATGCATCCCTGCTAGGGCTACACGATTTTGGGGAAAAAAATCGAATTGCGATTTTTCTGACAAATATCGCGATTGCGATTCGCGATATTTGTTTTTAAGCGACCCAACGGAAGTTTATTGTAAAATGCGGCCATATCTCTGGCTAGGAAGGTCGTATCAACGTGCTCCCGTCTTTAGCACAGCCGCAGCCCGAGCTACGAGTGAAAGAACTAAACTTACATGAAACTTCCGTTGGGTTGCTTTAAAGTCAAGCTTCAGTTTAAGATTCACCCTGTAATAGATGTAAAACATATCATGGAGCATTACTAACCTGACTCAGATGGTTTGTTTCACCAAAGCATCTAGGAAAGCTCCATTGGAAGCCATTTGGAAAAGGGCAGGCACTTTCAAAAGCACTTGGCAGCTGATTGGATCAATCTGTCATCACCTTCTATCATGGGCCACTTCTGATTGGTTAACAATGGCTGGTACATGTGGAGCACAGCACTTCTGATTGGTGTGGATGACTGACACACAAGAAAAGAAAAAATGTTTAAAAAAAATCGCAGGCTTTGCATTTGATAATCGCATCATTTAAAATCGCGATTTCGATTTAAAATCGATTATGGGTAAATGGTGTGATGCCACGTTTAGTCGAGTTTCACGGCAAGCTTTCCTCAGGTGCTGCAGACGGTACAGAAACATTCTATGAATAAATTGTCAGACAGGAAACATGTGAAAGCAGAGACAACACAAAACAATCACTATCTTAGTTTAGCTTGTTAGCATAACATTTCAAGACTTTACTTTTGAAGGTATTTTGAATTTGTTTTAACATGATTATTACAGTCCAGATGAACGATGATGGGTAACGAAGTCCTCTGACAAACAGATTCATGGAAGGCCATCCAATAGTTGTTCATATGAATCAGTTTGGACTAAAGAGGCTGAGTGTAGCCAACACGCACAGAACTAAAGACCTATAAGAAAGAGAATCCATCATTTCATTCTCACGTATGCACTTATGGAATTCAAACTGTCCCTGAAAAACAACATTTTAACATTAAAACTTAAAGGGATAGTGGAAATCCGCGAATTTTGGGTTTAACTTATGTATTTGTATTAAAAATAAGCATAATAAACAATTTTTTTTAATTTCATGCGCCTAGTTTCATTTTATTTTCAATTTTACTGCGCCCTCTCAATGAAACGAAATACTTCGGGAATCTTCGGATGATGACGAGAGCAGAGGAAGACGGGCACAAACAATGGCGGACATTCAATAGCATTTGCATGTGAATAGCCGACCTTTATTATGGTGAATAGATGTGTTTTGTATGGCTGTAGTGCGACAGCAAATGCAGAGAATGGCGTATCGACTCATGCGTTTCCAAGAAACCCAGCCATTCGTCGTCAGTGGGTGAAATTTGTTCAGAAATGTTCACTATAGGTAATACTATAAGACTGTAAGACGGCAATACTTTATACCGAGTATATTGCCATAAATATGATGATTGATTATCAGTAAAAAATTCTACGTGACACAACGACATTGGATTAACCTTGAGATGCGTTTTTATTCCGTTGAACACAACTTTTGATCACAAATCAAAAAAGGTAAGACGTAATTATTGTAATATTTTTGGAACCGGATGTTGTTTACTTTCTCTTTTCTGGCTGATAGCTCCAGGAATTCGAGGTCTTACAGTGATGACATTACATGTGTGGAGTCTCAGCTTTAAATCGTATATCTTGTTTGTGCAGTTAAGATAGTAATAAGGGCATTTCCACCGTGTGTTGTGTGTAAAAAAGCGTTAGCATTAGTTAGCATTGTTTCGCTCAATGCTAATTCAAAGGCTTGGTATTACTCTTGTGTTTTTTCTAGCTAACAATTGTTCTTATTGTCAGTTAGCTGAGTTTCTTACCTTTTTAAAAGGGTATGAAACATTAATAGTTTCATAAATGTTAAGAAGCCCTGAGACATACAGAAAAAAAACTGTGGGAGGGGTCCACTGGGGGGACCTTCGGGCTTAACTGGTTAACAATGATTAATATTTGTAAAGGCTACAGGTGATCTTAAGATGCGTGAGCTATGCTTAGGGACCTACCAGTCAAGATTATTTGTGCGTAGGGGTGCATCATCTGGCGCCTGGTCCTGGTCATCCTCGCCATTGCCCATGCCATGAACCATCACCTCGGGCTCGGGCTCGAACAAATAAGGACGTAATGGTCCATCGTCTGGCTCAATATTCTCACCATCGTCGCTTACTGAACCGGATTCAGATTCAGTTCCTAAAACGACATTTTCGTAGGAAAGCCGAGAGGATGTTTCTGACTCGCTATCATCACTGAATACCTCGTACAATCCTTCTTCTTTGTCTGGTATATTTGCCCTTCCACGTTCATTCTGCATAGACGCCATAGTTTATCGTGTCGTCTTCCTGAGTTTTCGTCACTTCCGGTTTGGCGAGTCGAACATTTCGTTTCTAAAAAACTTCGGGGAAGCTGCAATAAAGTGCTTCTAACATGCGTAAGGCAATTATTATATTTTTTTAATCAGGTGTGATTGTTTTGGTACGTAATTATGCTTGTATATAAGTTAAAACGAAACTATTTGAGGTTCCATTTCCACTATCCCTTTAACATAAAAATGTACCCTTCTTCCCTTCTTCTCTAAGGATCCTGACATTCCTGCGTATTTCCTCAAACCGACCAACATGTGACTCACATTTCCACATCTTGTGGAAAGATGAGCATTGCTTTGTTGCGACTCTGAGTGGCACAGGTGCGAGAAGCACATTGGCCAAGGACACCAGCCATCATTTAATCAGAGTGCCGCAGCATCTGCTCTCTGGTTTTTAAATAGATAATATAAAGAGGCGAGGAGGACTGCTCTCAGTCTCTTCATGACATCCATTCACAGAGGAAACAAAAGCAAGCCACACTGTATGTATGATTTACAGGTGCATGTGGAGTTCAGCTGGGATACTGAGATGAAGGTTGTGATTTGTACAGGGGTCAATGCTTGCTAAAATCACCAGATGGCCGCCTGAATAAATGAGAAACTGAATGAACTCGTGCAAAGACTCACTTC